TAGACAAGCCGCTCCAAAATCAATCGGATCTCCGCCCTACATGGAAACCGCTCATAAATTTATTATGTATAGATGTATGGCTTTGTCTAAGTTCATGCATGTCTTGCAGGTATAGTCTAATAGATTTGCAGCACAGGAAATGACCTGCAGCTGCTAAGTATGGAAGCATTAAACGTAAAGTATGCAAGTGTAAAGTCCAATCACCGGTCCTTTCGGCGCGTAAGAAAGTTCTGAGAAGGTTCATCATGTCCATAAATTGGCACCACAACTTAGCGTTTTGGGACGAATTAATAACTGATTCCTTGACATTCTTCAGCATATTCACAATGTCAGGCCAAACATCTGAGTTGCAAATCTCTTCTGCTGACAGTGATTTTTCACTGAGCCCGGTCAATAATATTGTCACATCTTGCAGGGTCTGATCGTCCAGATCCAAGACAAATTCATCGTCATTTTGGTCACTTTTGAACGGAGATCCAAAGGTCTCTCTAATTAGAAAGTAATTCAAGGCAGCGTCCAGTAGCATAAAAGCTCGGATAGCACGAGAGACACTATGGCCGTTCAAAATTTTGGCGACGGTGTTGCTACCGTAAATTTCTGAAAGTATTTCACTGATTCCAGATGACTCCATGAAGTAACCAATACAACCGAGGTAACTCAAAATCGTATGAAAGCCACCGAGTCGCAAAACAATATTTTCTGGTGGACTGTCAATCGGCTCGTTTTCAATTATGGTTTTAGCTTTCCAGTAAAGTGGCTGATCGAAAGTTAACACAGGATCCACTTCAAATTTTCTTGACTCTGCCTCGATAAAAAGAAGCGTCGTGTAAACACATCAGAAATCGCTAGGATTTGAATCAATGATAGGAAAAAAGAGAGCGCTTGATTTTCCTGGAAAGGAAGCAAAGGTTGAACTTCGCATCGAACCGGACCAATTACACGGAAAAAACGAGCTTAGGGTTGGGACCTACATGTTAGTGCTGGGCACTAACGAGGGTTAGATCAAATGGAGCCAGCAAGTCAGAGGAGTGCTGGGCACTAAACAGCTCGAGGCTGGGTCACTAAGGAAAAAGTAGTGTCAAGCCCTAAAGTGACTTTGGAGCGAGCGTAAAATATGAAACGCCTCCGCCTGGGATCGAACTCGGGTTGCGCCGGTGGAAGACCAGCGCGTTACCACCAGGCTATTGTGACTCCGACGTAGTAGGGGTGAATTTACACCTGTTAAGCGCAACTACGTCTCGCGGCATCTGATTAGCACTACTCATGTTCAGTGCCCACTGGTACTGCCTTCCGATGTTGAGCTGTACAGCGCTTAGACGCCAGCCCTCAACTACTCCCCACTAAACGGCCAGTAGTGCTCAACACTAGTCTTGTTTTTTCCGTGTAGAAACATCAGGGCTTTTAAAACCCATGAAGTTTGATGAACATATCATGCTCTGTCGTTAGGGTCATTAGGTGTATCAGGATACTCTTGTCCACCGTTGATACTATGAATTTTCTTCCCATCGCATCGCGTTTATTCCACTCCGCTAGTCTTACCTCAAAGACTATATTCTCTTCTGTTGCAGCTTGTATCGGTTTCTTTGCACGGAAAAAACGAGCTTAGGGTTGGGACCTACATGTTAGTGCTGGGCACTAACGAGGGTTAGATCAAATGGAGCCAGCAAGTCAGAGTAGTGCTGGGCACTAAACAGCTCGAGGCTGGGTCACTAAGGAAGAAGTAGTGTCAAGCCCTAAAGTGACTTTGGAGCGAGCGTAAAATATGAAACGCCTCCGCCTAGGATCGAACTCGGGTTGCGCCGGTGGAAGACCAGCGCGTTACCACCAGGCTATCGTGACTCCGATATATCAGGGGTGAATTTACACCTGTTAAGCGCAACTACGTCTCGCGGCATCTGATTAGCACTACTCATGTTCAGTGCCCACCTGTACTGCCTTCCGGTGTTGAGCTGTACAGAGCTTAGACGCCGGCCCTCAACTACTCCCCACTAAACGGCCAGTAGTGCTCAACACTAGTCTTGTTTTTTCCGTGTGTGCTTCCGTTTACTACGTTGAGTTTATTACTGGATTCGAAATGTATTTGTATTTCGAAGTCCCATAGTTGATAATTTTCTTTATTCTTCGACCTCGTTACCCGGTTCAATTCACTGTTGTTGTTATCTGTCATTTTTATTATTTGCGTTACACTTATCAATAATCAAAACATGTGAGAGTCACGTTAAACTCATTGTAAAATTAGTTGTACTTTCATGAGCTGCGTTAAGCTCTGAAGGATTTTTGTTGAATTACGAGTCTCGTTAAACTCAAAAAAAAAAAATGTTGATAAGTCCCGTTAAACTCATTCGATTGTCCGTTACATGTATCGCACTTAATTTCCACGCGAGGCTCGGAGTAACGCGATTTCTCGTTTCATCGTCTTATTCGCTTGCATAATTTTCCTCACATACCTTATCGCTAAGGCTAAAATTGTTGTCACTACAATGAATAAAATTGCCGAGATGACCCACCATTGGGCTTGGTCATGGTTAAAATTTATGTTAGCTTGTCCCGATACCACTACCGTCCGGCTTTTATCTTCTTTTGACGAAGAACCACCCATTTCTTTTGTTTCAATGTTTAACCACTCTTTCGGAATTCCAGTCATATACTTAATTCACGCGCACTTTCAAAACGGCATAGCGTTAACTGCCAGTCTAAATTCGTTAAATAATGACTTCACGATGAAGTAGATCGCTACCATAAAAACACTGATGAGAATCACGCTAAGGCACCATACGCGAATTTCTGGACCCATAACCCTTTGATTTTATAAGACAAACATACAAGAAACAAACTCCGAAGATAAATGCATAAAGCATGTTGTATAGAGATGATAAAGTTACATTACAGAGAGACCGACGACGACTGGCCCCGACCACACCTAGAAAAGCAAACTGTATACCGAATGTTATGAATTTCAGCATAGTTGTTTTAATAAACACACGATTGGTCTTACTCCAATCTCAACATCCTCGTATAAAAACCACCCATTTGCGAAATACAATTCTAGCTGGAGCGCAATTCAGCTTTGCAATCACCACTGCAAAAATGTCAAAGGAAATCGAAAAGGCCAGCGTGCATGTAGGCTATTTCCATTTTAATCTTCCGTCACATTCTTACGGCGCAATGATACAACTATTTGAACTCTCCGGAATGCGTGAGGTATCACGCCGCATTTGAAGGCGTTTTCAAAAACAGCCAAGTTCCGATACCCGGATTATCGTTTTGCACAGTTCATATTATTTTGTTATATTCCGTACCACTTGTTTATTCTTAATCCTCGTATATCAACCACCCATTTGCTAAATACAATTGAGGAGCTTTCCGGGAAATGGGCACATACCGAAAAAACAAGTTGTGAGAAAAACGCATTTAAAGTTTTCATTCCTACTTTCTTGGCGCTGATGATGACATACATCGGAAATGGGGCACCCATATTAACGTCCATACACATACACCCTAGAATGAATAACGACCATTGGTAAAACTTACACTTCTTTCAGTGTTGTGGGAGGAATTTTTTAAAATTTTCCGTTATGTGCCCTTTTTCCGGAAATGGACCGGTGGTTATAGGTTTTGGCTTTCAAAGCTAAATTTTCAAGACTTTAACGAGTTTCTAAACGAATAGAAATCATAATTTCGATCGTGAACGTGCGGGTGGATCATCTTCGATCATCGTTAATAAAAAAGACAGCAAAACACGCGAAAAAATCGAAAAATTAAACCCACAAGAGACCATTAAAAATTGAATTATTAATAATTACAGAATTTCACGTGTCACAAGTAAAACGCGTAGACCAAAAATTGAATTATTAATAATTACAGAATTTCACGTGTCACCGGTAAAACGCGTAGACAATCACTGCAACCCGATGATATTGCATTGATTAGTAGAATCAGTGCGATGCATCTGTAGTGAGGGATCCTTACTTATATCAGTACCCATCACCTGCCTGCCTGCGCCCTGCGCGCTATCTCCTCAACGTCGCGTCGCGGCGACCGTACACAGGGGCGAAAACATGAAATACGCCTGACTTAGCCTCACGAAACTTGGTCTCTTAGCTCCAAAAATTGATCAATTAAGCTGAAACTCGGGACATTGGTACATTAGGATGCGAGGAATCCGTTTCTGCCATTTCCGGAAAAAGGGCTTATACGCGTATGTGCCCCTTTTCCGGAATGCTCCTCAATTGGTATCATCTGCATGCGTAGCGATGATCGTTTTTCAGTGAACTTAAATTTTTTTTGCTTGGTGCAAGTATCCAAGTTTTTTAATATATTGGAATCGACTTTCGTGCGTTTTAGGACCCGCCTCGTAGGTTCTCCATAGCTGTTGTGTTTTTTTGCAAACGGTCAGCAACACCTGATCTTGGCACATTTTCTTTTCCACGAAGAATTGACGTTAATTTCGTATAGGTTTCTGCTTGGATTCCGCGGAGAACTCCAAAATTGGAAGGGGAGGGTAGATGTAGCCGAAAGAATATCAAACGGACGCCGAACACAGAAGTAACAAAAGAGGCCACTCAAATTTATTTAATTTTGAAAAATACATAAGCACAACACCTGAGCTTCAAGGAGAATAGCCTTAGCTAATTTAGTCTATGACCACATAAATAGGGCTCGAAAAACTTAGTCTAACATACACGAAAACTTCACAACTTCGAACGTAAATGTAACTCTCCCAACCTCTAACTTCTCAAAATTTTAGGACGCTCAAAAGGAACAAGCTGAAAGACCCAACACTTGGTGTTGGAAGAGCGCGCCGTAAGAATATATCTGTTTTATCATATTCAGGCTGATCCTGCTTCGAAAAATTGTGGCTTATATATATTAATACCTCACGGATGGAATATATATTGCATACTCAACATTGACGTCAAATTCCTGTTGTACCTATGGATATAGTAGTGCTTATGAAGCAACTGGTAATTGTGAATTGAATGAAAGAACTTCGTTGAGAATTTGAAGGTATCAATTTAATGTTTGACACATATCGGTTATAAGTAGACAATGAAGAAATCAACATGCTTATCATAATTACAAGTATCGTTGAAGGTAACAATATGGCTACTTCCGTCATGGGAAAGTTTTGTAAATATTCTGCATTTAAAATTGTCATTTAATGACCAAATGCTCCAAGAATCTTGCAAATTGTTAGGAAAAATCTGAATTTCTTTGTACTAAATTGAGAGGTCAATTCATAATTGTCATGCCAATTTGCTATTTGCGATTGGGTACTAATCTACTGAGAATAATTATTGAAATGCTAACTGGACATAAATAGGATAGTGATCACTGTAGAATGATGTATATTTGTATCCGTACATTTGCGTTTCGTTATGGTAAGTCCGCCTTTGTCTTGGGTAGATAAGACTCTCTTTAATTCTCCTTTTTTGGGCTTATTCGATTCTTGGTGGCTTCTGCAAAAAAGATGGGGAAAAAAAAGAGAGGTAAAAATCAGAAATAATGCTAGCTGCATTTTTTATTGGGTCATTTCATGTCCGTTAACTGTATGATATAAGTAACCAGTTACATCTATAAGAAATCTTCTTCTAATCTTCTTCTCTTCTTCTAATCATCATCATCTTCTTCTAAGAAGAAAATTCTGCAAAAACTTCAAGGAATGGTGTCAATTTATTTTTCTTTAAAAAAATAACACTGGTGCGGAGATTTTTAAACGCCGCAAACGAGTTATGTGATTACCGATTTTCACCGTCCATTTAAATCATTGATACCATCGTCGCATTCTCCCGGGTTGGCGGGGCGGCTGACGGGGCCCTGGCCAAATTAAGGGGGGATATCCATATGGATACACTGGATAACCATATGGATACCCATAAACTGCCGTTGCGGGTGCTGCCGTTGCGGGTGGTGGTGGAGGAGGAGGAGGTGGAGCTAGGAGATTGATGATCTCCTCCTCACGCATTTCGTTGACTGAAACAAAATGACCAAAAATCAACAATACAGTAAGTCCTGAAAGAACAGCATAGATTTATACATTTATTTCAGGTTAACCGTTATTAATCTCAAACCATTGCTTACTGCAAAATATCCTCTTATATATAGGTATATCAATTCGATAACATTTTTCAAGAAGGAATTACTAAATGTACCTAAAAGTAAATAGCTTTCTCTTTAGACGGCTAGTTCTTGTGGCATGTTTGCCTCCAGTCGAATCCTGGAGAATACACAAACCACCAAAAGCCCTCCAAAACATTTTCAGGTAAAAAATCCGGTCGAGAAAATTGATGTGTTACATCCTAACCAAAAACATTCCCTTCCATTCCTCCAGGAAGGTTGATAAAACTAACTATGAGATAGGTAAAAACCTCTCCTAAATTCTCAGGGTCCACCGACACTTAAACTCCAACTCCACAAGAACTTACTCTAGGTTCAAAACAAAAAAGAGGAAAAATCAGATAATCCCTTAACAATAAGAAAATTAAAAAAAAATCGAAAAACGATTTTGTGGTTCACAAGAAGGTACCTTGATCCCTCGAAGGAACCTGAAATTACGAAATCAGTCGAGAATATCTAACGAATTTCCCCTTCAATTATGAGTTCTGCAATAAGGACGACTCACTTGGACCTTACCACACACGAGCAACACGAAGCTCATTTCTTCTTTCTTACCCACTGATCGTGAGAAGAGCGGGAGCATTTACTTTTTCCTTCATATGTACAGGATGCAACAAGCATGACTCTTGCGTTTTCAGAAACCCTTTCTTTAAGAAGATCGCGAGAGCCTATACCGCATTTATTTCAGAAAGGGATTACTCCAGAATTTCACGCTTTTCAATAATTTAAAATGATTCATCTGTTCTCACATCAAACATCTTCATTGTCATAACTGTAGGGAACAAATTCATTTATCGTGAAACGTAATGTTAATTAGTTCAGGATATTTCCGAGGGCATGAATTTCAGATCATACTTTCTTCACTATCGCAATTTTGCAGGTACTTACATTCAACAGGGGATGAAAGGAAACTATAAAAAATGAGTCATATCAAACAAAAGTAAATTGAGAACTTCATTACTTACCCATTAAACAGGAAATTGTTAGCGCGGGAACATTATGAATCTGCCTTTCTACTAGTTTACGCTTGTTTTTATGCACTTTCTGTGCCAGCAAGTCTCCCTTTGACCCCTAGATAAGAAACACAAAGGTTAAAGAATTTCAGAGCTTCAAACACTAATATGTCAAGTAGGCCTAAACGCAGACATAGCATCTAGCAATGAAATTAATAATAAAGGGACATGTACCCATCGAACTAATATTATTTTTCCTTTCGATGCTACACAGTATGCTCAAAGTTTAACAGAGGCTTTTCTTGGAGTTTGGCAATACTGCATTTCATCCTCCCCAAAGAATTATGTAGAAAAGTTGATAATGCTTGGCGAAGCAGTCAGCTATCACTCATTACTGATGGTTTGAAATGGAATTTTAAGAAGAAAAAAACTGAGATCAGCTGATTTTCTATCTCACTCAAAAAGGCGTAAACTAATTTCGACCAAGTTCAGTCACAGGATTCTTTCACTCTAAAATGGCGTAAACTAATTACAACTAAGTTGATTCACAGGATTCTATACTGAGCAGCTCAAAAATATTTACTTAAAATTGCGAAGAAACTGATTTTATAGTGTCTAAGGCTTCTGCTGTAAGTGACATTGTCAAACTCAGTCGTTGGTACCAAGCCTACGAACATAATTTCTTGTAAAACTCTGTGTGAGTTAATTGGGACCGTTCGTTGCATTGCAATTCAGTACGCAGTCATTAACATGTCATGAATCAGTTACAGACTCTTTAAAATAAGAAATTTCAGATTCAAGGAGCACTTAGGCCACCTTACCGTAAGGTCCTTATCAGAGGAAAGACTACATGTTTGTTTACAAGGCGACAATGACGTGGCCACGAAGTCAGTCTACTTCATCAAAACGATTCCGATGAAGCAATAGTCTCTAACCATGCTGTTCCAAGATATTTCTGCAGGATTGCTAAAACCTCTTTGAACATTTCATTAATCATTTGGACGTATTTCTATCACATGGAACTATGTCCATTACAACGTGAGCTCTGATACGCACATATTCTTACGAGTCTCAGGGCTCATGTCTTCATTCACACAGTTCTGTTTGATAGAAATATGTCCATGTTTTCTCTCTTTCGGCAATGAAAATGTTCCATCCAGCATGTGTTAGACATCACTTCTGTGCTTAACAAGACACCTCAATAGGGATCCACGTAATACAGAAGTTTTTAAACTCCTGTGGCCCAATCAATGGAACTGTCAGCACGACAAGTCAAGATATAGCCCTATCGTAACAAAGCAATCACCTTTCGATGTCTGATCGGGCTGCTTAACCCTTTCAATGATCAGGCCGCTGCTGACAGTGGTTCATAAATAAATAATTCGGCACTGATTATGCATTTACGTAGACAAATTGTTGTCATCCTAGAGACACATTGTCGGTGGATACTGATTTGGTGAAAATCAATTCGTTTTGAAGGAGCATATTATTATCATACTCACTTTTTGGATAAGGCTATCAAATTTACGTCCTTTCTGATGATCCATTACTTAGGTGAGTTACTTCACTTTCACTTTAAACAAAAATCCACGATCACAAATAGAAAGAAATGAAACATCACATTCGGGATCGGGGCATGGAGCATTCGGCAGCTATGCTATTGTTCATGTTCAGAACAGAGTTCGCCAAAACGAAAATGCCGTAGCCAGCTCACGACTTGGTACCAACATAACTTTTTCCAACCAACGGAATACACTATCCGGGACCCGTAGGTGAAGGGGCTCCCTTCCCCCTGATCTTTAATCTGGCGTCTTTTTTTACATAAAAGTTACGATGATTACATTATTATTCACTAATTCATCATTATGTAGATCAATGGCGGTTCCCTAAACGTTTAATATAATTTAACATTTTTCAGTGAAGAATCGATTGTGGTTGCCACCTTGGTAATGACGTAGTTTCTCGTCAACCAATGAACACTCGAGTCGTCCGAAATAGAGTAGCGCCTTTCGAAATCAATTTCTGATTGGCTCTTTTTTTTACGTTTCCTCTGTTGAACCGCGGAACCAAGCAAGACAGCAAATAGAAACCAACAACAGAACAAAACATAACCTGATCACTGATTAAATCCATTTTAATTTTCACACAAAGAAAAATCATTTCAACCAATTTTGATTTAAATAAAGAAAAACCTTCTCTTGTTGGTGCATTTCAAACGGTGTTCGTACTTTTTATATTATCGTTTTGTCTTATAATAAGATAAAACGACACGTTGATTTCATCTTATTTTCCTCATTCCGTCTCCTTCTAGTGAAGTTTGAGTGAACACTGTGTCACTGTGCCATTTCTTTCTAGTCTATTAATTCTATTAGTGATCTATTAATTATTTGTGCGTTCATTAATTAGGTAAAATATCTAAGCTTTATTACATTCCATATTTTGCTTGAGAGAGGAAGTACACTCAACTTTCCAAGTCCCTTTTCTAACACTTGGATAACGTGTCTCCTCGTTTCTCTGGACAAGAAACCTATTTTTCCTACTTTATATGAGTTAAGACTCTCTTCTTTGTGCCAATCCATTTGTGGGCAAGATCCCACAAGTTGAGTTTTACTCTTTATACACATATTTTGCTATGGTATAAGTTGAGACCTTTCTCTCTATACTGCGCATTTTATCTTGTCCCATAAGAAGAGTTCCTTTATGCAAAATATCTGCACTTGTGTAATTTGAGTTTCTTGCTCCTTACACTCACCACTTCTTATCGCATAAGTTGAGTTCGCTCTTTATGCAAATATTTTGAAATCGTATAAGTTGTATCAAGTACAAGTATTCTTGGAAACATGTTCAAAGCTTACCTGAACCAATCACTTTAAATTTTTTTAGTTTTAACTTTTTCTATTGTATTCAAATTTTTCTTCTTTTCCGACCTGCTACTACTGAAAAAGTATATGCATATTCAAAAAAAAAAAAAAAAATTACCTGTTCTCCATTCAGATGCTCATCACTTGCTGAAGAATGGCATTTCCTAATAGTGTCAGACCTTTTCTGTTAAGATGGACAAGATCTGTCGTTCCACTAAAATACGTTTTCTCAAACAGACTGAGATCTACAGCTGATTGAGGATGTCTAAATTGTGTGGATTCGATAACTGTGACTTTTTCCCTGACCTGAGAACCACATGTCCACTCGTTCACCTTACAAATTTCTGGGTTGAAATTTGGCAACCGTGGGATTGTCACCAGCAAAATCCTCGTGCTAAAATTCCAGGCCATGTTGACGATAAGCTCATACCCTTTAAAATTGAACTGCCTGTTGCGCAGAAAATCATTGGTTCCCAACAGAATTATCATCATTGAGTTGTTTAATATGCAAGGGTTTGAGTGCAGTTCTCGATCCAAATCTTGAGGCCTCTTCAATCCTGCTGCCAGATACTGATAAATCGATGATCCTATGAGTTTTAAACTTTTGTACAAGCGATTCCACTTTTAGCAATGGAACCAAAAGGCTGTCCCCAAGAAATACCAAGTTCCTCTGAAACACAAGCTTCTTCTCTCAAAAAAAAAATGTTGCACCTCATCCAAGTTGCATTGATTGAATAAATTGCAATCTCGATACTCCTTTACGAGCTGTCATGGCCTTGGAAAGTGCACTGTCCTGCTTGGCCCAAGCTAAACAACAATGAGTGAAAATTGTGCTGGCCACATTTAAGGCCATCGGCACCCCCGAGGACCCCAGAAGTAATCCCCGGCGTTACCGACGTCACACCAAAACGCCTCCACCGCCGCGCCTCCTTACAAACTATTAACCTACTTTCTGAAAACAGTACCCGCTGCGGTGTCTATTTCGAAGGCTGACTTCGCCATAACCAAGCGGCAAGCCACATACTCCTCCAGTCCCGGCGACAGTGGGACCCTCAAAGCCTTGCCGCAATAGTCAACGAGCTGTTGAAATGTCAGGTATTCTCTATAAGGCACCAATTTGCATAGCCTGCCTTTAGCCGTCTCACTCAGTTTCCTTGCGAAAAGTCTACCGCCCAATCCTTCAACAAAACCTCCTTGAAGAAGGTCCGCCTTTTCGGGGCAACTGTTGAAATCCTGATGGTAAAGCCTCGCCACAATATCCCAAGGATTCTCGCCGCACTTAGCCGTGCTGCTCTCGATGCTCTGCGGCTTTGCACTAGGTGCCTCATCCCAAACTGGTAGAGGGGGCAATTTGCGATAGTGGTCTCCAATTGCAGCAAAAACATCGACAGCGCTATTGCATTACACGTTCTCCTCCTCCAATAGAGTATACCCACCCAGCTGCTCAATGGCAGTGCGTTCAAAATCGGTGAACTCAGTTGCTGCGGAGACGAAAAGGTGCGGCAATTCACCTCGGGTCTTAAGCCACCCATTGAAAGTTAAACGATCCCTGGTCAAATCTGGTGGTCCTGAAATGTAGATCGGTTCTCCGTGTCTCCTCAACTGCGTAAATAACGACAAAACTGTGTTCACTGAAGTGACTCTCTCCGCGTCAATGTCAAGCTCTGGAGGACCAAAGCGAGCGCCTTGGCCATTGACTCGGCGCCCTTCTTAAACCTTTCGCTTATGCCCCCCAACTGGGTGGCGGCCGCCTTCAACAACTCACGATCAATGGCATCGTTCAAAAGAGAAAAATCGGGCGTGTACCGCCTCCCAGCAAGAAAGCCTGAAGACGACGAAGGTGCATCTCGTTCTCTCGCCTCAGCAACTAAAACGCACGCAACGGTGCTGCCCGATTGGCTTTGTGGATTCATTCTATCCGATTCCAGTATATACGAAACAAGACCGTTAATAGATGAAGACGAGATAAAGTTCGTTTGATTAAACGCATCCGAGACCGCACTAGATAGCCGTTGTTGATGTTGTTATCGGTTTGAAATTTTGAAAGACTTTAACTAGTTGATTTTGTAGTTTTTTACCTTTTTATTTTTGTAGAAAAGTATAGATGTAAAAAGACAAAGGAAGATTTTTAAAGATTGAGCTTTTTTATAACGGAGATAATTTTTAGTACAGGAAAAGGGTAGACAGAGATTAAGGCTGAAAATTTTGTAACTGTAGCAACCAAGGGGGACCCGCTTCATTTTGGCCCCCCTGAACTTCCTCGAAGTTCTGAACTGTTGATTCAAGGCTGATCTTCATGAGGACCGGGAAAAATCTTGATTTCGTCAAAGATTGCCTTTTCTAAACGATCGAGCATCCTGTTTCGTTTTAGCATATTGCGACATAGAGGACCCCTCCTCCTTGTGTCTCGACCTTGACAAACCGTGCATTGCACACGTTTCGCACAATTGAGGTTAGGTGAAAGTTAACCGCCTGGTCGCACTGCCGATAGATCGTTCGATATATCGCCTGATTCGAGATAACGCGAAATCGAATTATTAGGCTTTCAATGCTAGGTTAGGTCTAGCACGTTGTCGTCGGAAACGAAAAGTTCTAATTTCAACAGTTCAAAGAAATTGAATCACACAAATGAGGCAGATGATCACACTAACAGTTAATTGATTAATTCACAAAACGGGGAAGACGATCTGTCAAGAATTTGACAGCCACGGGTTGGGCGCCAACTGAGACGGTACTGCCTGTGCAGCGCAGGGAAGAGCACGCAAAAAAACCAGAAAACACTGATATAAAGACGAAAAAAAGACTTGCCGACCGGCCCGAACATAAAGTGAAGAAAAACATAACCAAGAAATCACCCGAAAGGGTGATTTCCCCTTAAATAAGAACTCACATTTTGGGAGTAAAAAGAACCGCACGCACCTGCTAGGATGAAAGGACCGAAGAGAAAAAAATGGCGTCTCCGCATAACCGTCCCTCTCTCTCTGGTGTCCGCCTCTCCCATTGGTGGATCAAGACATGTGACTGGATCCCCCAATAGGACCACAGACACCAGACAGAGACAGGGAGGGAAATGCAAATATCCAATATACATATTTATATGTCACAAGATCGTCGTCATCTGTCTCGAGCTTTAAAGCCTTATATTGGTAAATTTAAATACAGGGTTAGACAGACAGGGTTATAATCATAAATACAAAGTTAGACAGACAGGGTCATAAACATAAATACGGTGTTAAACAGATAGGGTTATGAACATAAATACGTTGTAAAAGTCCCAGGGTGTCTACTGGCACTTAAAAAAAATGATGTATTTAATATCGATGTTTGAAGTCTTAAATGACCCAATTATAATTTCCAATGCAGACGAGTCTACTTTTTTTGGTCTCCCAAGCCAGGGAAGGTTTTGGCAAAAAAGCGAATTAAAAGCAATTAAAAGCAATTAAAAGCAATAAAACCTGCACACGTCCTCACACTGGCGGGAGCGCGTACGCACCCTCACACACACTTACATTAGCATTCTCAATTGGCAAAGATTTCTGTACGGGTAAACATTACTTGACTCCATTTTCTTTGATTCTGGCGGAAACTTGTGAACAGAAATGGTGCGTGGACAACTCTTTTTTCATTAGATTATTGAATAAAAAGTCGATCCCAATCTGGCGTAATTGCCGCGGAGAAAAGTTTTCACGGACAACTGCCGTGCAATGAACGGAATGCTCATCTTCTCCTTGATGCCTTACATCGGCGTGCAATTTATAATGATCAGACTCGCTGAAAGTGAGCTTCTTCGACGGTAAATTCACCATCCGGAACTCGGAGTCTTTGATTTAAATGCGTCTGCTGATCTCCTTTGCGCGGTTGATTCGCACATTGATTAGATCACTTGGATTTCGTATGAGTGTCCGAGGGACACACTTTCCTGGACAAGCCCTATTCTCGATATCATCAGAGCAGGCAGGGTCATCGTCTGACGGTTGGGACCACTCTGCAAGGCTGTCGATCAGTATCGGAAAATGATTATTTTTTCCTCCCTTCAATGGGCAGAGGCAGTATGTTTTCGACGGATGGAATTTCCCTCAAGACATTGCACGAAGTACATTTCAACTGGAGTGTCTGTGTGAGCTTTGTCTTTTCGAACAAACTAGGGTTTTGTTAGATCAAGCTACTCGTGAAGTCTCAAACGCATTGTATTGGGGCTGCAAACATGTCGTCCGTTGCCTCTCGGATCGGCCACGCGGAAAGTGTGGTCCCTCTATAATTTTGATACTGGGAGGCAATCCTTTTTGAAGGCGTATCATTTAAATCATCCAATAAGGCGGACCTCAATCAAACCTCAATGGCTCGTAGCTGAGCAAGGACTGTAACGTCGCGTTTGCATAGCAGGAGACCAATCTTCTGATCTCCGGTTTGTTCTCAAATCGGGGCCATATATAGCAGACATCGTGGTATTATCCGCTGCTTCGGCGGTTCTCGCTTCCAACGACGGCGCATGTGTAGGTAAAGCACATAGCACTTACTATATAGTCACTATAATTTTTCCTCCTACATCATTTTTTGAAATTTAACTGATGCAGTTTCTTTTGATGGCAAGTCATCGAGGGTGATAAGTATCCAACCTGCTATCAGACACCTCTATCCTTCGAGTGATTTCCTTAGATTGGCAAATGTCTAAATGCCTCCTCCCCCCCCAAGACAGAGAGCAGCTTTTTATTCCTTCTGAATGAAACCATAAAAAATTCAACAATGCTTATTTTTCACATTATCTATTCATCAGCCCTTCCTCGATCCTAGTGCTGCAACTAGGCAAAATGCATGCTTAGTTAATGATTTTACTAAAAATGAGGGGCTACACTCACCAATTTATTCAGTGCATCAGTCGACTTGATTATAGTCTCTTCCACTTTCAATACATCTTCATATGTTTTACATGGAAGCATTTCATCAATGTTGCTTTCCGCTGAGTTAGTTTTTACGGCAGATTCGCTTGTTGCCCCAATTTCTAGCTTCTCTACTTTCTCCAGAATTTTTTCCAGTAGTCTCCCATTGCTTTCTACAGCAGATTTGAGGTATTGTAGAGTCCTTGAAAAATCTCGCCCTAAAGATGGGAGGATAGAAAGCAATATGATTAGTGAGAAGTTAGAACTGAAAAACCAAGCGGTTACAATAAGAATTGGCATAATGAACTTGCAGGTCAATAGTTAGAAAGTTCTGACTTCATTCGTAACACTAACGATAAAATGACATTGAAAACAGGATACAAATGGCAAAATTAAAAAAAACCCTAAGTGGCAAGAGTCAAAAAGTTACAGCGAACCCATTAAAATATACATGCAGCGGTGGAAAGACTAGCCGACAAAGCAAGACAAGCAGTATTGCACAGATGGCCGTTGCTATCACCGTGTAACAATTTTTATGATTCAAACTACTAGAATTTGTATAAACCTGTTCTATCTCATCATTTCGTTGGAACCACATAAAAGAGAGATCATAGGCAATCCATACTGCTTCTCCGTTGGCAATGAGATGTCGATTCTGATTGATTACATTCCTCGTCCACCAATTTGCCTGCCCATGCTTGACCCAATGGGGCTTCGTGAACAATAGATACCTCTGCTGCATACACGCGTCGTTGTCTAAGTTAGAGCATTGGTCGTCCTCTGTTGACAAGGCTTTAAAAGTCTGGTTGTCAAACAAGAAATTATTTCCGCATCGCCATGTGGAACTCTTCATGTTTTCGCAGGTGTTAGCGAAACAAAAAGGTAGCATCAATAATAATATCAACATATAATACAAAACATTTCTAACAATTCTTCGTTTAACTGGACTATGAATATAGCGAGCTTCCCCGCCACGTTCATCGCTCAGTAAACCTATACAAATTCGTTGTTTGTATTATACATTGGTATTCCCGGTGATTTCCAGTCAGTCACGTTCACCACTGGCGTCGCTATTGGTTTTCCAGTCTAATGTTTACGGTGTCTTAAGGAAATCACTTCAAAAGCCATCCCATCTCTCGGTGATCATAAGGATACACCATCTCTCCAGCTCCTAGCGGTTTTGCTTCTAAACTAGTGCATATGCCTTTAGCATTCGTGTTTTTTTTATGTTCCTCACAAACAGGATACTCGTGTAGATAACACCATTCTTTCTGCATCAAAGCTTCCCAGTGTTTTGGATACTGGATATTATCACGGATATTCAATGGTGTAAGGGTGTTACATTCAAAAATTCCCAAACTTGAACAATGATCTTCTCGATACATCTCGAAAAGTCTATATTCATCTTCATGTTGCATGGGCGATGATGAAGTTTCCAATGACGGTGCCTTTTCGGATCCTTCCTCATTTTCATTAGCAAGGAGCGCCTCTTGTAATGAAACATCCACCATTTCCAATTCGGGTTGAAGTTCCAGGGCCTCTTTTGCCCTCATTATTTCGGAGACATAGGCATCAGAAAAAGGTTCCTCGTCTTCCTCCGTCAAATCAATGGGAAAATCCAAGATTTCTACCGAATCTTCATATTAAACACACAAACACACTAATGAGAGGACACAAAACACACAACAATACTCAATAGGATCCGTGCATAAATTTTTAAAATATAAGTATGAACCACAAACCCACACAAGCATAATAGTGGGTACAGCAAGTATGGAATTTAACTTACTTCACTCTCCTCAAGTTATTTGCGGAACTCCTGGAATTTGAATGTTGGTATCGAAGCGGCCTCTTGTGCTAGTGCTCTTTTCCTGTGGTATGACCAGCTGGAAGCTGGATATGACCTGCTGGAAGCTGGAAATACTCATAATGTCTAATTGAAGTAACGATGAGTGCACGTGATAATGATAAAAGTAAAAGTTCAAGTTTAACAGCGTGAGTGAAAGGGGTCCATGAATTGGGAACCATAGAACCGATATTAAATTCATTTAATTCAATAAAAGCGGACGAAGAGGCTCCTAAAATGAAGGATGCAGGATGGGTGTGTGTTCGTCCCCGTAAAGTTGTGTGAGTCCGCGTAAGAAGAAGAATTGAAATGCCAAAACAACTACTATTTTGTAACAGTGTGAATGAGATAAAAAATTATCCACAGTTTCCTCTGTAAAACGCATAGTTTGGTCAGAAATAAGCATCTTACCTAAATTGTACTTAGGTTTGTGAATAATATCAAGAATAACTCACTTTGTAGAAGGGATAAAGGCTTTATAAAGACAGGGATAAAGACAGCGATAAAGACAGGGATAAAGACAGGATCGACAGAAAACCAAACTTTTTCTTCTACAACTTTTTTTCTCTGACTGAGAAAGTTAAGACCAAAAACTAAAAAAACTTCCAGTTCCATGGTAACCCCTTCCACCGTGGCCCAGGCCGTCCCAGCTGATAAGTCTTAATGGCGGGAACATCCCGGCCCGCCTTGAACCCCGAAGGGATCAAGACGAGTAGGATGACCCGCCCTACTGACGCAGCTGAGACAACCCGAGCCCCGGAGGCAGGGGTCCCGAACCACTACTCATCTACGCACTGGAACTCGTGCAAATAAATTCCCGGCGTCGTCAATATCCAATGTGTTCCACAGCGACTCCTCGAATGCTGCTTCAATCAGACTTCTCCCAATTGTCCGTTGGAGATTCTGACTTGGAGATTGGCCTAATTGTCTCCCCCGTCCTGGAAGTGGTGGAGAAGAGGCTACCTGTCCCAACTGGGAGAGGAGATATCCCCTGCCCCCTGGCAGTCTTGAGGGTCCAGCGGTTGCACTCAATGACCTGTTGGCCCCCCGGCCTAATGGTGGTTCTGGGGCATCTGAACCAAAAGTTGGATGAACAGCAAAGAAAATCTCGTCCAAAATACGATCCTTTATAACCGTTGACAATGGTACTCTACAGTAAGGACATTCGTCATTCGTCAACTGTGGACGACATGATCCGCATACAAAGTGACCATTTGTACACTTTACGAACGGTGGCCGCAAAGGATGGTCGAGGATATCGCAAGTGTTTTTTTCCAAAATTTTGGTAATGGTGGTCCGCAATGGCGGTTTCCTTGAGTTCTGTTGCTCAGTCACTGTGAACACAGAAAAAAGGGGGGGTAAGGGAAGGGAACGGGATACACGTAAAGGATAGAGCAACAATCACAACTGTTTGTTTGAAGTCTCCTTATCTTTCTCCCTTTGGAGATGTGAGATAACTGCAACCTGGTTCCCGTAGAACCATTGATCGAATTGCAATGTTGCTTGTAAGAGGAAATTAGAGGAGAGATCCAAACGGTGAGGGGCGGGAGGGGAGTACACACTGGTCGATGGGGCGGAGGGGAGGGAAGACACACTGGTCGATGGAGCGGAGGGGAGGGAAGACACACTGGTCGATGGAGCGGAGGGGAGGGAAGACACACTGGTCGATGGAGCGGAGGGGAGGGAAGACACACTGGTCGATGGAGCGGAGGGGAGGGAAGACACACTGGTCGATGGAGCGGAGGGGAGGGAAGACACACTGGTCGATGGAGCGGAGGGGAGGGAAGACACACTGGTCGATGGAGCGGAGGGGAGGGAAGACACACTGGTCGATGGAGCGGAGGGGAGGGAAGACACACTGGTCGATGGAGCGGAGGGGAGGGAAGACACACTGGTCGATGGAGCGGAGGGGAGGGAAGACACACTGGTCGATGGAGCGGAGGGGAGGGAAGACACACTGGTCGATGGAGCGGAGGGGAGGGAAGACACACTGGTCGATGGAGCGGAGGGGAGGGAAGACACACTGGTCGATGGAGCGGAGGGGAGGGAAGACACACTGGTCGATGGAGCGGAGGGGAGGGAAGACACACTGGTCGATGGAGCGGAGGGGAGGGAAGACACACTGGTCGATGGAGCGGAGGGGAGGGAAGACACACTGGTCGATGGAGCGGAGGGGAGGGAAGACACACTGGTCGATGGAGCGGAGGGGAGGGAAGACACACTGGTCGATGGAGCGGAGGGGAGGGAAGACACACTGGTCGATGGAGCGGAGGGGAGGGAAGACACACTGGTCGATGGAGCGGAGGGGAGGGAAGACACACTGGTCGATGGAGCGGAGGGGAGGGAAGACACACTGGTCGATGGAGCGGAGGGGAGGGAAGACACACTGGTCGATGTGGGAGATGGGTGAGTAGATACAGACTTCTCGTTATTGCTCATCTTGAACATAGAGTAGATTTCATTTGTTACGAGAAGGTTAAATTCGCTATTGAGAACTACCCAATGGCAGAGCATATAATTTTACCACCGGTCTTTTGTACACTCCGTTGGGAGTTTTGACTTCTACTACTCTTGTGTTGTTATCTTTCCCTGGAAATGTACGTAAGACTCGGCCTCGAGTCCATTTTAAGGGGGGGCTTTGAGGATCATGGAGAAGAACCAATGTTCCCTCCTCCAGATTCCCGGCTTGTTCCAACCACTTCCCTCGTGGTTGGAGTGTATGAAGGTACTCAAGGTGCCAACGTTGCCAAAATTGTTGGGCATACAACTCCACCAAATTCCACCTATGCAGAAATGGTGGACTTTCCGTGTCATATTGCCTTTCTGGTAACGCTACTAATGGCCGACCAATTAAGAAATGGCCAGGGGTGAGAACCTGATAATCACGTGGGTCAGAGGAGAGTGGAGTGAGAGGACGCGAATTTAAAATAGCCTCAATACGGGCTGTCAATGTTTGAAACTCCTCTTGAGTTAATACACTATCACCTATCACCCGTTTCAGGTGTAGTTTAAAACTTTTCACTGCAGCTTCGTACAGACCCCCCAAATGGGGCCCTAATGGTACATTGAAGCGAAATTCCACTCTGTTATTGTGAGAAAACAATATTAAATTTGGGTCCTCTGACGTAATTAATTTTAAAAATCTATTTGCCGCTCCCTGGAAATTGCTAGCATTATCACAATAAATATATGCCGGTTTGCCTCGTCTACTGACGAAGCGCTGTAACGCAGCGACGAACGCATCGGTACTCAATTTTGAGGCCATTTCTAGATGAATTGCCTTGGTGCTCATGCACACAAAGACACAAACATAGACTGGAGAAATAATCGCATACCGAAGCTGATGCAATTTTACATTGAAATGGCCACAAAAGTCCAATGCCGTTCTGTGGAATGGGGGACTCTGCTGAACTCTTTCAGCTGGTAAATCACCCATTAAAGGAATTTTGTTTCTAGGTTGTACCTTAAAGCAATAAATACATGACTGAAACACTGATCGAGTCAATCCTCTTGATGCCATTATCCAGAATCTCTGACGTAACAGAGATTGCAGGAGTTGCGGAGGAGCGTGCATGTTGTCCTTATGGTATTTTTCAACCAGAAGGCGCACTAAGCGGTGTTTTGATGGTAGTATTATCGGATACCGCGCTGATTCTGGGAGAGGGGCATGCGTTAATCGACCCTGAGCATGAATTAAACCATCCACGCCAATATATGGTGCCAATCGTTTGAGTGGTTTAGATTTATTTGTTAATTTTTCACCTCGTTTTAGGCGGGCGATGTCCCCCCCAAAACTCTCTTTCTGAATCAAGAATAGAGTTTTATTTTCAGCGACTAGAAATTCCTCCACTGTAATGGGTCCTTTTTTAATGACACGGTCATGACGTATTAAGAAACGTAAAACATAAGCAATTGCTCTCACTACCTTATTCCATGAAGAAGATTGTGGAAATTTAATTTCTATCTTTTCTTCTTGAGCTGTTATTAATACCGTGTTAAACTTTTTTAACTCTGGTAATTTTCCATCGGATGGAACTATTCGTAACTGCTCTGGCCAAAGTTCTTCCTTTTCTTTTAACCAAGGTGGACCATTCCAATACAGAGGGTGATTTTTCAATTCACTAGGCATTATTCCTCTTGACGCGACATCTGCCGGATTCAAGCGGCCTTCAACATGACCCCATCTCACTGTTTCTGTTAAATTTTGGATTAGCGCTACTCTATTTGCTACAAAAGTTTTTAGTTTGTATGAAGGAGTTTGAATCCAGGCCAAAGTTATCGTAGAATCTGACCAAGCGAAGACTCTTTTTACACTAAAATATTCCATTATTTTTGGCAGATATGTTTTCAATACTTTTATACCCAGTGCTGCTGCACATAATTCAAGTCGTGGTAATGAGACCTTTTTTAGAGGCGCAACACGCGATTTCCCAACAATGAGGGTTATTTTTGCATATTCATCCGTGGAAGGGTGGAAAGATCGCAGATAAATCAGGCATGCTATTCCCAGCTCACTTGCATCGCAAAACATATGACATTGTACTTGCCTATCTTCGGTCTCTATATATCGTGGGATCTCTATAGAAGATAACAATTGCAATTCATCTGCGAACTTTTCCCAACGATGTATTAGTTCCTGGGGGAGTGGGTCATCCCATCCCAAACTAATCAACCAAAGTTCCTGCATGAAGGCTTTTGCCTTAAAAATGACAGGTGTTAGAAATCCTAACGGATCAAAAATCGAACTGATTAATGATAAAAGGCCTCTTTTTGTATTAACGGACTCTGCTCGTTTTATTTTGTAAGAGAAAATGTCTTTCTCACAAGCCCAAAATGCCCCTAATATTTTGAAGACCGGGTCGTCAAATCCACTTTTCGGAACCTCCAAATCTTCTGAAGGAAAATTTGCCAAAATGGCTGATTTATTGGAAGTCCATTTTCTCATGAAAAAACCCCCTTCAGCCAAAAGAAGGATTACTTCTTTTAACAAAGTTTTGGTATCCTCATCCGTTTTATCACCATACACCAAATCATCCATGTAAAGCGCGTCCGCTAGCGCTTTTGCTGCCCTAGGATATTTATGACCATGATCCTTTATGATCTGTTTTATTGTGCGTATGGCTAAGAACGGTGAACAATTTACCCCAAAACATACTGTTACTAAAGCATAAGTTTTTAGTTGCATATAAGGTTCAGGCCTCCAAACAATTAGTTGGAATAGATGATGTTTAGGATTTAATTCGATTTGAAGGTACATTTGTTTAATGTCCCCTGAGAACACCGTGGGAAAACGCCGAAAACTCAACAAAAGCATAGGAATGTCCTCTAACAATGAAGGCCCAGGTAATAATAGATCATTTAAAGATTTTCCATTAGAAGTTTTCATACTTGCGTCGTAAACTGTTCGAAGTTTTGTGCTACTTGACGACTCGTTTATAACTCCATGGTGGCTCATATAATAATGAGGCGTTCCCTCAGGAGGGCGGGGAACTTCCCGCATAAAACCGTTCTGTTCATAATCCTTCATATATTGAACATATTTTTCCTTTAAGATTGGATTTCTACGAAATTTCGATTCCAATTGATGAAACCTTTTAACCGCGATGGAGTACGACTCGCCCAAATTCCCAGAATTTTGACGAAATGGCAAGTCTACTTGATATTTTTTACTTGGGAGTTGCACCGTAGTTTCCGTGTACAACCGTTCCGCATATTCTTCCTCCGGTTTCAAACCGTTCGAAGGGGTTGGTTCCTCCAATGCCCAAAACTGCTCTACTTTTGAATACAATCCACTAGAACAGTTGCAAGTTAGAAGAACCCTTGCCGAACGTACCGGAGTAGAGCGGAGGAGCACTACCGATGAGTGTTGTGACGAGGGGAGGGGAGGTTTTGCCATAGACGATGACAACGTCGAAAACGTTTTTCCCAAAACAACATAACCAAAAACCGTGGACATTACTGATGGCAAAGAGGGTCCCAGAGGGAGAGGGGGACCGTTGACAATCAATGCATAGAGGTCAACAGCTAAAATGAGATCAGGTTTGCTCGGAACATCAAAATGTTTGTCAGCTAATGGGTATTGTCCCAGAATTTTCCTCAAATCCTTATCTAATGGGACTGGTGGAAGAAGACCAGTTATCTTCTTGACGACTATCATAGGATAGTTTGGAGCCACTAACCGTCCATCAGGCGTTGAAATGCTGATTTCAGCCATGCCTTTAGACTCAACCTGATTTTCAGATAGGCCTGAAAGATTCATTTCAGTGTGGCTAGGTTTAATTCTAAGAAGAGAACAACACTCTGATCTGATAACGCCCGTATCAGCCGCGCTATCTAGGATGGCCTTTGCAACCAATGTGCGGCCATTTTTTGCCGTCAACAAAACAGTTATTGTTGGCAACACTGACGTCATATTTCGACTCTCAGTAAGGAGGGTACGCTGACCCTGAGGTTGGATCGTCTGATCAGAACCATTGGTGGCTGATGTGGAAGGTTGTGGAGTCGATTCATGTTGATACATCTGGGTGGGTAATGCAGTTGCAGTTGAAAGATGCAGCATAGAATGATGTTTTTTCGAACATGATTGACATCGTTTTTTACTCTCACAATCCTTAACCCCATGAGATGTACTCAAACAATTATAACATAGATGATTTTGTGTCACAATATCACGCCGATCCTGTGCAGTTATATTTTTAAACTTTTCGCATTGAGCTAGAGTATGAGAGCTTTTGGGACAAAGCTTGCATCGCAAATATGGTGGGGGTAATTTTGTAGTTCCCCCAGAGTTTCCCTGTTTACCCTCCGACTGAGGGGGGGAGGGAGATGATGAACCCTTTCCCACCTGCAAAGCTCTCACTGGAGGAGCAGATGAGAGTTTTGGGCATTTTTGGTTTGAACGAAATTTATTAGACTCGCCATCTGACATTTGTGCAATTTCGTCTTGTAGATATTTGCAAATTTCGTCAACAGTTGGCATTTTAGTTTTTTCATCCCGAGAATCCTCAAATCGTCGTTTATGAAAATTATTAAATTTTCGTAATAAAACCAAAACCAATAATGAACAATAAGTTTCAGGTTTCAACCCTAAACCCTCCAACGCTTGCATATTCTCTTTTATTTTGGTGTAGAAATGAGATAAATTAGACGCCGTTAACTCTTGGAGATCAAGTAAATTTGAAAGGTAATAAGTTATTTGTCGTCTCTCATTATGATAATAATCTACCAATAAATCCCAGGCAACTAAATAATTTTCAGAAGTAAATTCTAAATTTTTAACTAAATTGAGTGGTTCGCCTTCCAGTTGGGCGAGCAAATATTGGAACTTTTCAATGTTGCTAAGCGTGGAAGATTTATGAATTGTAACCTCAAACAAGTTATGGAAAATTGACCAATCTGACAATTTTTTACCATCAAACCGCGGCAGCACGATTTTAGGGAGCCTCACTTGAGACCTTGTATTATTAGAGCATGTGGTAGAATTCGGATTAGAATCCTTCGAAGATTTTTTGGCATGTTGATATAGTGATTGAGCTTTCATCACCATTTCTAAAAATTCCATTTGAGCGTTAATCACACTCTCCTCTGACACATCGGTGGAGAGAATTTCACCCTGAGTTCTGTCAAAACCATCCTGGAGTTTTTCCAGCCTTTCCATGAAAAATGAAAAACTATCAATGTTTTCCGGAGTTATTTCGGTTAACTTCCACAAAATGGTTCTAACTTCGCTCATGATCAAATTCCTCTGGCGTATAAGTTTGATTTCAACATCATTTGAATCCCGCGAATGTACCGAGGGGGGACGAGAAGGAGGCGCGGAAACTCTTTGCTGAAATGTGTGCGACGTTAAAGTCGCTGTATGATAATCACTCTCATTGACGTTTCCATTGTTTACATTTTGATTTAGTGATGTTGTCGGATTTGACAAGGAATTCAATACGGCATTTCGATTAACCTCATCATCGTTTCCCCCACCCGTTACACCCTGACGTAAGACTCGGTTCAATTGTTCCCGCAGACCATTATCGTAATTGTGGTCCATCAGTAACTGTTCACTTGGGGTTAAACTAACATTAGATGCTGGAGAAGAAGGCAACATGGACAAATTTTTCTAACCTCGAAAAAGAATTTTTTTTTTTTTTTTATAAGTTATACAGTTTCACAACCTGTTTTCTAAAACAGCTGATATTGTGAATTGACCCAATTATGCGAAGATTCGATATAGGTTATTTTTGAATTGAATATGAAAAGTAAACAGCTGTATTAAGCTTTTCTAAGCTTTTAAGGGTGAATAGAATGAAAAATTCTTATAATTTTCCATTGAAATGATGGATTAGCAATTGAGGTTATTTTTTCGAGGTTAGGAAAAAACACGGAAAGGGAGGAAGGGAGAATGGATAGAATTCACCAGGAAAAATGGATGGAACGATACAGGATTCTCTCAGGATCGTTGGATGGAGCACTGGGGCTGGGTGGCTGCGTCTCTGCAGGACTGGGTCAAATTAGGACTTCTGTTTGTAACTTGTTGGGACGAGAGCTTGGAGGTTAGGACCTGGGTGGCTGCTACAACGTTTCTAAGTTTTTCAGAAGTTTTATATATCCGGCTCGGAGGACCATGAATAATATCAAGAATAACTCACTTTGTAGAAGGGATAAAGGCTTTATAAAGACAGGGATAAAGACAGCGATAAAGACAGGGATAAAGACAGGATCGACAGAAAACCAAACTTTTTCTTCTACAATTTTTTTTCTCTGACTGAGAAAGTTAAGACCAAAAACTAAAAAAAACTTCCAGTTCCATGGTAACCCCTTCCACCGTGGCCCAGGCCGTCCCAGCTGATAAGTCTTAATGGCGGGAACAGTTTGCTTAAAGCGACTTATTTATGCTCCCTCGATAACTTAGTCAACCTACAACATTCAACTGAACCAAAAAATGCTGATAAAAGAGGTGACTGCAGTAAATTATTTTTTCTTTTTTACATTCCTATTTAAAAATCACACTTAAAATTCAAGAGGCAAAATAGATGTCTTACCGTAAGAGTCACATGAGCTGTCCATCGTCAACTGTCGATCGTCATGATCATCATTAACATCATTAACGTCAATGAGTTTGTCTTCTTCAGATTCGGTGTTCCTTTCAGATTCCTTTTCATCCGTATCTTTGTCATTGCCAAAGTGCTCTTGAAGCCCAGGTGTGGGAATTTCTGGAATTTTGTTTCAAGAAGATTAGTCATGAAATAACACTGCTTCTGTAATGCTAGATGGTAACAAGATTCTAGGTGGCGGTAGCCACCCAGGCCCAATCCTAAAAAACTCCCCCTAAAAATTTAAAAAAAAAAAAAAAAAAAACAAAATCTGACAACGACGGGTGGCTGCTGCCTAACTAGATATACAGGAAACATCTCAATCGGGCTTTTCTGCGCGGTTTGCGGCCCATTTAGCTCTCCTGCTAATTATGTCGTAAAGTAAAGCCCAAAAACCCTATAATATTTGGGTAGAGTATGCTCAGCTCTACATGTAATGCCCACCCTTTTTAAATTTAGTTAAATATTAAAAAAGTTATTAAGCTTTAACGACAAATTTTGGACTCACAAAACCGGCTATGAAAAAGACCGCGAAACGCTCGCCCGCCCGGGATTTAGTTTAACGACCTACAGGTATAACCGTAGAAAAAAACCCTATAAAACTATAGATATTCTGAATCAGCGTTTAATGAACTACAAATGCATTTTTTTATATTTGATATTGTGGAGATATAAGCTAGAACGACCTCTAATTAGGTCATTTATTGATGTTTTCAAATCGATCTGTCGTCACGGCTGCGGAGGTAAGGGCGGCATAAAACCCATTAAACTAGGTATAATTTTAATCTGTAGACTCCGAGGATTCCACTTCCGAAAAGTTTGCAGACTTATATTGTCGTAGAAAAGAGAATTAATCGAAAGAAGTAGGGTCCCTAATTCTTCAAAAAAATTTGAATTTGAAAAGAACAATTCGTAGAACCGCGCGGTGGATGGTGAGATTCGGCGCAGAACACGAACCAAACTTTAGGTTATGTTTATGTTATTATGGCCACATTATTTATTTGAAATATCTTAATAATAAGAACAAGATGGATTAATTCATGCGTGTTTCAATATTATCATAGCGAAAGAGAACTGGATTCATTTCTATAAAATTCTTTTATGATTCCTGCACCCCTGTTAAGTGCTCAGACCAACCAGCCATTTCATCCCAGCGGCACTGATCTTAGTGATTTTTTCAAGCGATTGTTTATAATGGTCGATTGATTATATCCCATTATAGTAAGTCCTAGATACCACATCTCATTACTCAGATTCAGGAATTGTTTCTAGCAGAGCATTCTTTCTCTCATTACGATGAAATCTGTCGGGCTCGGGGTGTCAATCAATGTTGAATGAAACAGCGATAACTGAAAGTGATTCTCATAAAATTGTCCTATGTCCTCTCGGCCTACCGCCTCTGGAGTTAATGTGTCATTTTACTGGTGTATGAAGCCCAAATCTTTTCAGACTTACGATAAAGGAGCAACGCTTCATTCTGGCTTTGCTGTGTTGAATCGGTATAATGAAATCGACTAATTGTCACAAAATCAGAGATACTTGACTTCAAGCATTTTCTTAATTTGATTATTAGCAAGTCTCTTTGATTCTGCGTCAGAAGTTGATTGAATCGTCACTTTTGCCTGTGTTTTAATTGATAAGATACTTCAAATCAAAGTCTTTCTCATTGACCTCTGCAGAAGGTACGTAGCCTTACAATTTCCTTAGTTTGATAAAATTAAGAGTAAAAGTTAACCAGTGCAGGATATATTTGGTGATAACCTCTCAATTCAAGGGCGATGGAAAGTTTCCATCATGACCCACCGCACGAAGGAGACTGGACAATACAGTCATCATGGTATGACATGAAATATAACTTACTCCTTTCCTCTTGCTCATCCAAGTCCTTACCTAACAAGTTCGCTCACTATGAGGGTGCGACAATCAGCTGTTTCATTTTATCGCTGAGAGTAAATACAAGAATTAATTCTCTGCCCCACCCGAAAGTGCGTTTTAACTCATTAGATGAGAACCTTGGATGACTGGAAGTGGCATATTTATTAGTGAACGCTATCAATTGATAGCATGAGCATCCACAGACAATTTTCTTTGATGAAGAGTAAACTCCATTTCTCAAATGATTGCCAGAGTTTGAGGAGACACCTCTCATAAAACAGAAAATACTACCTGCTACTGTCTTCATGAAACGGTAAGCTGCTGCCTGGATCTGCTGGCTGAGATGATGGTACGCTACATAACTAACATTACCTGAATTGAGCTGTAGAATTTAGTTTGCATTCTATTTTGCTTGATAGAATCATAAGATAAGATAATTGTCGCATGACGTACGATATAAAACCCAGCCTTAGGTATATATATAGAATAGATCATGTTGCAACTATAAACTCTGGTTTACCGCCTACAGTGCACAAGAGACTGAACAATTCAGAATAATCATAGACCATGAGTGGCTCTAAGTTGTTGTTCATCTGAGTCCTTAGCTGATAAGTTCACGCATATTGAGGGTGTGACAGAAAATCGACTGTTTTGATTTCATCATTGGTAGGAATTGAAACCGAGAATTAAAACAGTATCTCTGTCTTACCCTGATAGTTGTGCATTTAAACTCAAATACTACGGATTCTGCAAGACCAGAATTGTTGTTGGCAGATACAGGTCGGGCAAAAATGGCTCCCTATCTATGCCTTTGCCTACCAACTTCACCAACTTTGAATATTTATCCATCTAAGTGAAGACTCCTTTTGAAATTAAAAACAAGTGAAGATTCCTCTTGAAATTAAAAAAAATTAAAAATTTATCATCATATTAGAAATAAAAAGTCAGGAAATCAAAAAGACACAGAAAAATCTCCACTTTCAGAAAAATGTTTTTATTCAATTAATAGAATATTCAATTAACAGAAATCATCGGCGACCGCCCTGAAACAAAAGAACATAAAAAAAAAGTTACTTAAATTATTACCAGTCCTTTTCTAGATAAGAGAAAGCGAAATTTGTAATTAGAAGATTACTATCCAATGAATACCTAATGTTTATGATTTCCAAATCGATTTTATATGAGGCGTTTATAAATAAATATTCATAATATAATCAACACCCCAGGTAAAAAATTTTCTCCTGTAACTTTTGCTTTGCATTTTGTGTTGCGTGGGATTAATCAAGATTCCACCACAAAAGACCGAAGAAAAATCAAATAATTATGCAGTTAGCCAGGTTCTAGGCGGCAGCATCCACCGAAGCCCAAAAACAAGGTAGAACAAGTAATTATCAATGTTGTATGTATATATCTCACTTTGGAATGTGAAAAAGTAAGTATGACTCGTTTTCTGCACTTCCGTACAACTGCCTTTTATTTAACACCTAACTTACCGGTAGATCCCTTCTTAATCAAGCTAGGATTAATATATGAAAGGCACATATTATGGGAGGAAAGCTGCTCCCTAAAAATAAAAGAAATTCAATGAATTTTATACTTGAAAAAAAATGAGATTGTATCACCAGATCCACAACCTACGAAGCGTGCAAACTAAGAAAATTCTCTAAAAAAAGTGATAATCGCAGAATCAATCACAATATATAAAAAATATAATTACTAGTTGGCGAATAATTACTAGTTGGCGAAGAAGCCACTCTCATATTATACAGCTCATTACCATTGGAACTGCAGGGCAAGGGGAAAAAAGTGAAACCTGGAGGAAACTATTGATAAAGAGACAAATCATCAAACGATCAAACAACCAATCAGGCAAGCTTAAAAAATTTGTTAATAAAAAGCGATTCACCAACTTGAAAGGAAAAATAAAATAATTAGAAATTGGTGAAGAAACAACTTTGATATTATACAGCTCACCCCAGTTGGAATTCCATTGTATGGAACATACCGATGGAGCCATTCTTATTCTTATATTATACAGTTCATAATAACCGCTGGAACTCCAGGGCAAGAAAAAAAAAGAGTGAAACCTAGAGGAAACTATTGATGAAAAAAAGTCAAATCAAACTGTCTAACAACCAACCAGGCAAAAGTTGAAAATTTGAGAACAAAAAGCAATTCAAGGACTGGGAAGGAAAAAAAGGAAAATATTTACAGCGTTATAATTGCAAGCCTTTAATCCACTCCATTCATGATAAGGGTGATGCAAAGCCTGAAATCTTTGCATCACTTTTTCTTACTTACGATGATATTGACTGGAAGAGTGTAGAATAAAATGAAAGACCCCTTCTCCCGCCGGAATTTCTTTAGAAAGCTGGAATAAATTAAATTTTCTTTATAATTTTGCAACTGTTGACGCCCAAGTAATTGAAAAAATTCATTGCTGAGCTATTGATTGACACCAAAAATTGTAGGACCAAAAAGAGAGCCAAAAAGGCCAGAGTCCAGAGTCTATTTTCGTGCTGTTCAAAACTAAAAGTTGTGACCGTCGTGGCTGATTATTCACTTCCTTTCTAAAATCATGATACCGAAATGCATGAGGGAAAAAATTTACATAATAGATTCACACTATTATATACTTTCTCGAATTCTCACATTGGACACCATAATGATGAAAGGCGAGGGAAAAAATTCCCCCCACTTTTCCCTCCTCTCATTAATATTGGCTCATCCAGCTCAGAGCCTTCATCAAGTTTCTTCACTCCTCATTATTTTATTATGTCAATCAAGATAAATATTCAAGACAAAAAAATCACAAACTTACCTTCCTTCTCCTCTTCACTTTGCTGCCTCCTTCTTGCTCCTTCCTCTCTCTTTCTTGAGCCTTCCTCTCATCTTCTTCTTCTTTTGATTTTCTTGCTCTTTCTTCTTCCACCTTTCTCTCTTCTTCTTCTTTCAACTTCTTCACTCTCTCTTCCTGGGCTTTTTTCTCTTCTTCAGCTCTCCTCTCTTCTTCTTTTGACTTCCTCGCTCTTTCCTCCTTCTCCCGGGCCTTTCGTTCCTCATCTTCTTTCAATTTTCTTTCTTGGCGCTCTCTCCGATCTCTGCGATCTCTCTCTCTCCTTTCCGCTTTCTCTCTTTCTTGTCTCTCTCTATCTTTCTTCTCTGCTTTCTTCCTCTCCTACAAAAAAGAAAAATGTAAAGTTAAAAATTTATTTCATGACCCCTTTTTTTCTCTCTAATTACAGTAAAAAGTATTAATTCATTGACTTATTGAGTGATGGCCAATTGTAAAATTAAAAATTTACTTGATGACGCCTTTTTCTCTCTCTCCTCACAGAAAAGACTAATTCGTTGACTCAGTAAATGATGGCCAATCACAGTCAGATCAAAATTCTTCTTAGTTAAAATTTTAAAATTTTTACAGCATTCATTTCTGCCTTCGCAAAGCTTCCATCCGATTACAAAAATCCAAATGAATAAGAGCAGCCAGAAAATTACATTAAGTCTTTTCTTCTAAAATCTGCCTGTTTAATATAATTAATCCGTTACCTGGTTCTGAAATATTTAAACGTCTTCTACAAAACCTCTCCAGGGAACCATTTAAAAAAGTATCAAATTATCCGAAATCAGGAACTCTTTATGTGACATCAATCTAAAAACCGTGCACTCAAAACTCTTACCTCTTCCCTAAACTTCCGCATCTCTTCTCGTACTGCTTCCTTAACATCATCTTTCTGAAAAAAAAAAATAAACAAAAGAAAAAGATAGAAATTAAAAAAATTAAAATAGTAACTTAAATTATGTTCCAGAAAGACAGGTAAGATAAAAATGGGAGTCGGTCATGCTTTCATTCTTCCTACTTTTATATTTCCTTCATGCACCTTCTGAGGATCTCCTAGAATGCTTAATCTTTCTTGTCTTTACTGACTACTAATCAAATTTAATATGCTACTCATGAAATCTTCAACACTTACTCTTGCCATAGAAAGCTGCCTTGCCACACATGTTAACAATTAAAACTCAACACGGACATAGGTTGTTATACACACACTCTGTTTCAGAGACACTTATTTTTCTTAATTATCACCCTTGTTAGTCTCAGTATTTTTAACTGTTGCCCAGGTGTTATAGGTGGAAGGAATTTGGATTATAAAATAAGTCAATTTGACAGTGAGAAAGGTAGGCTGGAATTGAATGGGATTAGCCCTTGATGGCTAGTTGAAGTATAAAAAAAAAGAAAAAAAAAAAAAAAATTTAAAATAGCCAAATGTAGAGGTGGCACCTATTCTATATGATTGTTCCTCTTTCTCTTTCTGATTGCACTCTACCCTCTCACCCTTGCATTTAAAATTCTGATATGTCCTTCCTGATTTTCTTGTATATTTGTTTACATACGTCAGTATTTGGAATGGTCCATCAAATTTAATTATTTACAGTTTGAAGAGAAATCAAACGGCTGCGTGTGTAAAATAGACAATTATGATACATCCCACTCAAAGTACCTTCTGCAATTCAGCACTTCCACGCAGGTTCGCAGGCAGGGGCGCGGGCATGTTCGGAGGCAGGGGCGCGTGCAGGGGCCCAGGCCTCGCCCACCCAACATGGGGCCACCCTGGAATCCCTGGATAGTATGACGGCTGCAGTGCGGGCGGGTAGGACGGTGGGGGCGGCGGTGGAGGCTGCACCTGCGCAACATATTGCAGGATTTGTGCTTCCGATACTCCATTCACTGGAACAAAAAAACAAAATGAGTCCTATGTATAAAAAACATAAGGAACTATTTGGCGAAATAAAAAAAAAATTACTGATCACCTCATTGTTTCAATCGTTATTATCGGATACATCATAACTGCCCCTAAGTACTTTTTCTCATATTCAATAGAAAGCCTTTCTTAGTCAATAAAAATATTTCACTACATTTTGCGCTTAGGAACTACAATTTTTACCATTTCCATTAAAACACTTTTGAGCATAACAATACTAATCGTGCATAAGCACCTACGTCATTTTTAAACTGAGCTGGAAATTTGAGTTCCTAAAATTGCAAGATGAAGTCCAATTCAAAGTAAGCTGATCCGTGGAGCAATGTTGATAGTCCCATATAAATAAACCGAGAATACGTAAAATGAGAAAAATTCATCAGCGGACCTTCCATAAAGGACCAGTGAATTCTGAGTGAATAAATAATTACCAGACATCAAATTTTAACTGAACCTACAAACACATATAGCATTGTCATGCTGTTGAGCCAAACAAGAACGCCTTACGACCCTTCAAACGTGCCAAATTTCATAAAACAGTGCCAAATCATTTAATGAAGTACTAATTTTCGGAGAAATTTCTGAATATTATATACTATTTCTAAATTTGTGGACCATTTTATACGAGGGCTCATTAAAATTACCACAAAATTTAAAAGAAAATATTTATTTGTACAACTCTGCGAACAAAAACAAACAAAAATTTAATTGGAACGTCTAATGTCTAATGTTAATGTCTCGTCACTCTCAATTCAGATTGAATACACAATACCTTTTCTATCTGAATAATCAAAAGACGAACAGGGAGATTGCAGCAGACATTTATCAGACACTGAACATCACTCGAACAAAACGGACAGCTGGTGATTTTCTCAAGAAACTAGGAGAAGAAGAATTGGAACGTGACATGTGTTCCATTTTTCAGCGTGTGAGGAACACGGAACAGTTCTGGAAAGTCCCTAGGTCTCAGTTGTTCGCTATGATCGATAATTACGGGCCTCCTACTTTCTTTTTTACCTTTTCGCCTTCTTTGTACGACGATCCCCAGTTAGACGAGTATTTGCGAGAAATGAACGGAGACAGAGCAAAGGGCAAAACTACATCCGTTCTCATCGCTGAGGATCCAGTATCCGTTTCTCGCTTCTGCGATCAGAAATTCAAAGCGATGATGGATTTCCTGACTGCGTCTAAGGACGGCCCGCTAGGAGAAGTGATACATTATACTTGGCGAAGGGAATATCAAGGACGAGACACGCAACATTTTCACATCCTACTTTGGATAAAAGATGCTCCGATTCTTGGAGAAGCGTCGAGTGAAGACATAGCCACGTTCATTCAGAAGCACATAAGTTGCTCACTACCGGATGCAAAAACGTTTCCCGAACTTCACAAGAAAGTCGTGACCTACCAGAAGCATCACGACAATAGGTACTGCACCAGAATGAAACAGTTCAAGGACGGAAAGCTACCGGTATGTCGCTTCGGTTTTCCTCGACCTATCACCGATAAATTAGTGCTTCGTGACGTGCCCACAGCTGTTGCGGGACGAAGGAACCTGAAAGCGAACTCTCGACTTTACGATTTACCGCGCAAGAAGGGAGAAGAGTACATCAACGATTACAACCCCGCTCTCTTGTTAGCAGTTGGATACGGCAATATGGATCTCCAATTTGTCGGCGAGAAGAGTGGTATTGTCGCGAGGTACATTTCGAAGTATGTTTGTAAGCCGGAGAAAAGTCGAATGGACGATGTCTTCAGCTCCATCAACAGCACAAAGAATATATACCAGAAGCTGTGGAGCATCGCCTCCAGAGGGCTATCCCATCGGGAATGCCATGCTCTCGAAGCAGCTGATGCTCTGTTAGGCATATCGCTGCACGGAACCGATAAGGACACTTCCTTCAGATGGGTGGATGTTGGCATGTACCGCAGTAGAAAGCTGAAGAAGAAGGGGCAGATCGAACAGATAGCGAAAGAAGATCCGCAAAGCACCAACTTGTACTGTCCGTCACTTGTCGATAATCACTACCCGAATCGACCCGCTGAACTGAATGATGTGAGCCTCTACGATTTTGTCAGACAATACGATATTGTTACGACCCAACCGACAAAACCGGGAGTCGTATTCTTCCCGTATCCGAGTTTCGGCTACGTGCGCAAAAGTTCGAAGCCGCACATCGTCAATCATTACCATTTCGATCCAAGACAAAAGCCTGAAGAGTATTTCTACAGCCTTCTTTTGTTGTTTAAACCTTGGCGAAAAATTGATGACTTGAAAGGCAGTCATGCGACTTTCACAGAAGCATTCAAGGCGGAGCAAGACTCCCTACACGATGCTATGCAGTATCACCACAAGCGTTCGGCTATCGAAGCTGCTCGCGAGGAAATTACGAGACTGATCGAGGAGAAGTCTGCAGAGTTTGAAGAAGAACCGGAACACATCAATTTAGACGCGGATGAAGATCCTTATGGATTTAGAGCTAACGAGGCAGCTGACGCTGTAAAAGAGTACCGAGAAGCGGTGAATAAAATCGATGAAGTTGAGGACTTGAAGACGTTGGAATCCATGCTGAACGAGGATCAGCTTCGAGTTTACGATTTCGTCAAATCCGCACTGGACTCGAGTACCCCTATGCGACATTTTGTAAGCGGGGTCGGTGGAACCGGTAAAAGTTTCCTCATCAAAACGATAGCAAAGTACGTGCGGGAGACGAAAGGCAAAGACGTCGCTATCTGTGCACCCACCGGAATGGCTGCCTCTGCGATCTCAGGTCAAACTCTCCACCGTTTGCTTCAGCTGCCCGTTCAACACGGAAATGATTTGAAATACACCAGGCTCTCGGATACCGTACTCAACATCTTGCGACTCGCCCTGAAGCAAACCGTCATTTTGATCATAGATGAAATTTCCATGGTATCCTGCCTCATGTTAATGTTCATTCACTTACGGTTGTCTGAGATTTTCAACACCTTCGAGGAAGAAAACGCCTTCTTCGGGAATCTCCATATAATGGTATTCGGAGACTTACTTCAGTTACCTCCCGTGAACCAGAAACCACCGTACGAATCGCTGTCGGATGGTGAAAGAGTCAAACACTTCGGATCTATGGCCGATTTCAATTTATGGAAGAATGTTTTCACATACGACGAGCTTCTCATCAATATGCGCCAGAAGAGCGATCCCAGTTTTTGCAAGCTGTTAGCGAACGTCCGTTTGGGTCGCTGCACAAAGGCAGATGTAATGAAACTCTTAGAACGTAAGCTAGAATTCAAAACGATCACCACCGATGCTCGGACCAAAGAATTAGCGCAGCACTTGCTGGACAACCCTGATAAACCAGTTTGTCTCCTTCCGAAGAAAAGGATGTGCAAACGACTCAATGATGCAGTTCTATCGCTTCTGCCTGGTAAAGAAATGGATTTGGATGCCCGAGATTCTGTCGACGGCCGATTATCTGATAAACAGAAAGCCCATAAAAAACTGGAAAAACTAGAAGGAGACTGCTCCAGAACGGCTGGTTTAGACAAAACGATCAAGGTCAAACAAGGAGCGAGGGTCATGCTCCTGAGAAATATAGACGTGACTCTAGGGTACGTGAACGGAGCTGTTGGTACCATCACGGAGGTAATAATCAAAAATAGAACCCCGAAACAATTAAAATTGCAGATGCAAAACGGCCGGGAACTCTCGCTGGATCCAGTTGTGGCTAAGTTTGAGATCATACCTGGGGTTTTCGTTCATCGACGTAATTCGTATCAATGTACAACAATGTATCGAAGATGACGTATGGGCACCTCGCCTCGAAACAGGGAATGCCGTAGACGAAACCCCACCGCCCAAAAAGATGATGGTGTCATCGTTACTTCCTCCTTTTGAGAACAAGGACAATGTAGCCTGCTACGCTAACGCCACATTGCAATGCTTACTCAGTCACGAACTCTTAAGAAATGCTTTGAGACGCTCGGACGGCGATTCAGCTTTGAAACAACTCGCTGAGGAGTACGTGAAGCCTCGAGGCGGAGAGCCGTTATCTGCGTTCAATGTGCGTGAAGCTACCGGCGATGACTTTGCAGAGCCCAAGATGCAAGAGCCTATCTTTTTCTACCTTTGCCTCGTCAACAAGAGTGACGTCCTGAAACGTATGACAGCGTTCACTGAAGTACTGCAGAAACAATGCAGTTCTTGCAAGGCTGTCATTGAAATTTCAGATGAGCGTCACATGGTGCAGATGCCAACAGAACATAAGAAGGTTTCCGAGTTTTTGCAGAGGCGTTCATCTTGGTCAGAACCGAGAGATCTCGTGTGTCCGCAGTGTCACACAAAAACAAAGGCTGTCGAATGCGTTCTGATCAGGAATGCAAGCGACTTGTTCGCTGTCGTAGTCTTACTGTGGAACCCCAGTGTCGACGGGGAACGACGGGTCAAAAATGACAAATTTCAAATGACTGCTCTCCAAGGCACAAACATAAAAATAGACGAGCATCGTTACCATCTCCACGCAGCGGTATTTCATAGCGGTAAAGGTGTCGTAGAATGCCATCACACAGCTGTTGTGCAGTTTGGAACGAGAGTGGTTCTAGCCGATGACCGTGACATTTCAGAGTGTAAATGGCCGCGAGGAAGCAAAGGCGCCAGTCTACTGTTTTATCGAAGGTTCGACGTTGAGAAGCCTCCGTCCAAGGCCGTAAAACCCACCGCTCGTAAGAATACAGCCTCCAAGGAATCGCTAAAAAATCCTCTAGCGAGACCTCTGCCTGCCGATGAAGCCACTGCAACAGCATCGGAAGCACCAAATCGCAGATTCGACGATGAGAAGCCTCCGTCCACTTGTACGTTGACTCCAACCACAAATGACTGTCAAAGAATCTTGCTAACGGTGTGACTGCCGAGTTCATCATCATGTTCAGTATTGTTTCGCCCTTGTGCTGCCTTTGCCTTTGTCCGATTTGTCCGATGTCGATGCCCGCGATACTTTCTTCTCTGTCCCTTCCAGCTCGGATATCTCCTTGGCCTTCCGATCTATAATCCTCTTGATTGTTTGCAGTTCGGTGTCCAGCGGAGAATTGAAGTGTATCAAAGCTCTCGTCCGCGCACTCCTCCACCAATTCATCCTGTCCTCGTTTACCACTTCGGAGAAGGGGTACACTTCTATTTTGACTATTTCGTACCCAATCTCCCCCGGAGTGGTTAATCTTAAGGATGTGCCGCGATCTTGATGACAAATATATTGGGATATTACGCCATCTTTCGATACCGATGTTTCGTGTGCAAGTGCTTGATCTAGCCACCCACTTTCCAAATCTACTCCTGATGACCTTCGTGACGTAGCATCGGCATGTTGAGTTGAAGTAGTCGCATGCGTGACATATGTGCAGGTGGTTTCCGTGGCTGGCGACGATATAAGTTCCCGCTCTAAGTTTAGCCAGGAGTCGCACGCATAGTTCTTCACCGCTTCGTCCAAATTTATTCTGGTAAATGTCGTGTAGAAAGGTTTTTTTTCCATTAATTGTTCCAAATCCTGCCATCCACACTTGCGTAGCTGCTTCCCTTGCTTCTTGAGATTCTTCATTTTCAACTCCCAAGCCCTCATTATCTTCAAGAGATCCTTCTGTTGGGGATCTGCAAGCTCCGAATAAAACATCGGGTGCGCTATCATCCCGCGAAGTTCGTCTATAACACGAGGCAGGGGAGCTAGCCCCTCGTCGGCAAATGCTATCAGCTCCTGTAAAGTTTGAGCCAACGGATGTGTCTTCACTTTGTGTTTCCTCTGCTCCGCTCGTTTTTTCTCCGAAACTTTTTTCTTCTCTGCTTTCATCGTCAATTCTTCGTCTTGTAACGCTTGCGTTGCCACGAACGTCGGTTCCGGATCCTGCTGCTGCTGCTGCTGCTGTTGCTGCTCCTGCTGCTCGTCCTCCCGTCGAGGACTCGTTTCCGCACTCCGTTGACCGCACTCCGCGTTCTCCGTGTCGACCTCTGTTTCCGATTCCGACGCCGATATCTCCACTACTTTCGGAGCGATCGTCACTTTTCTTGTTTCTTTCACCGTGCCCGATGTCGCTCCCTTCGAGGGATTCGTCATCCGATCCGTCATCGCTTTTAGTTTTTTCACTGGAGTAGTTGTAAAAAATCTCTTCAAGTCCTCCGCGTTTTTTCTTTTTATATTTTGGCGTTTCACTCCCGACGGCCCGGCTACCGAAAAGTCGTTTTCGTAGGCGGCGGACGTAGTCCCCGAAATATTTGCTTCTGGGTTTGACATTTTCGAGTTTTTGTAGAAATTCACTTTTTGCTTCGCGCACGCACAATACGGAATCCTCGTCGGATGAGCACAAGTCACTCAACGGCGAGCAGTCAGCGTCTGAATCCATGTTTGACTGCCGAACGCGCGGGAAACCGCGGCCTCCGCGCTGTTGGCACCGAGCGCTGCCGTGTTCTAAAAATAGATCTATAAATAGAACTGCCCCGGGCACCGCGCCATATACGGAGCGCTCGGCGGTCGCCCCTCCGCCGGCCGAATATAGCCCCGGCAGTGTGCGCGGCGGCTCCCGCGTCTTCCCCCCGCGGGCTGCTGCCGTCTCATACCCCTCGTCCATCGGTTCGAACTTAGCCGCTGCGCTCGCGGCCGCCGTGTAAAACTATGCATATGGGGGTCCCTATGTAGGTAGGATTGGACTTAGAAAAATCTCTGCTCTTTGCCGCTGTAGGTAGGACGGACTCGGGACTTAGAAAAATTCGCTCTGCTCCTCGCCGCGCGGCGTGGACCTTTCGATTAAAAGAGGGCCGAAAGAGGCGCCCTATCCGCCCGGATGGGGGGCCCCCAGCCTGTCCCGTCTGCGGCCCTGGGGTGGGATGGTGGGCAATATAACCTAACCTAACCGAACCTAACCTAACCTAACCTAACCTCGAGTTGGGTATACTGTTGTTCGAAGAGGGACTAAAGAATACCTCTTTCAGAGTCATCGCGCTACCGCACATCATCATCGATAACCATGGATACGATTTGCACGGAGCCGTATTTCATTACGGAGACAGAGATATGAACGCTCAAAATTACCTCGGCCATTACACTTCTATCATTCGTTCCCAAGAACGATTCATTCTGGCGAATGATGGAACGATTCGACCGTGTGAGTGGCCTGAAGGAAGCAAAGATGCTTTCTTGCTGTTCTACCGTAGAATGAATTGATCAGGAAACGCAAATGTTTCCGCCTCTCCTGTAGTGAATTCCGCCAAAGTTCCTGTGCTAGGAAATGCATATGAATTTTTGGAATGAGAAAATTCTATTCTCCTACTCAAAGCTTTAATCGTTCAATCTCGTGCAAATTTATCAAAGCAGAAGGAACGAAATAATTTGGCGGCTAACGGTTTCACGCGGAATCCAAGTAATAAAGCCAGGCAGCTTAGATGATTAAAAATCTCTAATCATCCCGATTCACTGCCGCAGTGGCTCGAACTCTTGCACTTGTAAAGTGCACCCGAAACGCAAGGTGTGGTATAGGTGCGACTGTAAGGGGAGAAGGGAGGTCGCTTCCACGTAAACAAAACAACAAAAAAATCCAAGTTATGAGGCCAGGCAAGCTTAGATGATTAAAAATCTATAATCATCCTTATTCACTGCCGCAGTTGCTCAAACTAGGTATTGCACTTCATGAGTGCACCCAAAATGCAAGGTGTGGTATAGGTGCGACTGTAAGGGGAGAAGGGAGGTCGCTTCCACGTAAACAAAACAACAAAAAAATCCAAGTTATGAGGCCAGGCAAGCTTAGATGATTAAAATCATCCTTATTCACTGCCGCAGTTGCTCAAACTAGGTATTGCACTTCATGAGTGCACCCAAAATGCAAGGTGTGGTATAGGTGCGACTGTAAGGGGAGAAGGGAGGTCGCTTCCACGTAAACAAAACAACAAAAAAATCCAAGTTATGAGGCCAGGCAAGCTTAGATGATTAAAAATCTATAATCATCCTTATTCACTGCCGCAGTTGCTCAAACTAGGTATTGCACTTCATGAGTGCACCCAAAATGCAAGGTGTGGTATAGGTGCGACTGTAAGGGGAGAAGGGAGGTCGCTTCCACGTAAACAAAAAAAAATAATTATTAATTCGTCTGGATCCGTACGATTGAAATAAATTATTCTAATTAACGAATCCAAGAAGTGCTAATCCCAGGAACGGCACACACCTTATAGGTGTATTTGAAGTGCCGTATGAGTCATCATGCATGGGGACTATGCTTTTTGAAGGGCACACCAAGGATCGACTTCGTAGGTTCAGACTAAGGACTCGCTGACGCTATACCGAGGCATACCAAAAAGACATGATATCCTCCCACAAAAAACAAAAATAGATTTTTGTACAAAATTTCGGCCCAAATCCAAAAAAACTCATCAGTAAAAAATACCAAAAACACACGATAGCTCTGCCGTTTGAATTCATCATTTAAAAGTAGGTGATATCATAACGGCCCAATTTCCCCCTTGATGCCTATGCAGTATATCAAATCCCAAAAACTCACCGATCGGTAAAAAATACCAAAAACACAAGATAGCTCTGCCGTTTGAATTCATCCTTTAAAAGTAGGTGATATCATAACGGCCCAATTTCCCCCTTGATGCCTATGCGGTATATACCCCAAAGTTGTTCACGCAAGAAAATTTATTTATTAATACATAAAACGTATAATGGCCCCTGAAACACGTTTTGATCCATCGCTTAAAAGGAGTAAATTAAAGGAGTAAATTGAAAATAAAAATTGAAGGGGAAAAAAAGGAATGGGCCGGCCGGCACGTACAAAGAAAAAATCATATACATTGGCATGTAACAACCTTTCGGCATGGTTTACAGACGTAGGATTGCCAACATTAAGGTCTTAGCAGAGAAGCATTGTAGGTATCCGTCAGGATGAGGTGTGACAATCCTTCAGTTTCAAGATGTCCGAGTTTGACTCCTCAGATGTTCATGAGGCGTCACCTCTGAACTAGCATCGTCTGAATGAAGAAAACGCCTCTGAAATTTAAGTACAGGGAAACGTTTGAATGATGATTTCAAGGTCTCGATCCTGCTTTCGACAATGAGGCACTCGTTTCGGAAGGAGCAAGAAAGACGAGAATCAACGAGAAAACAATCAGGGTTTCTCTTTTTTTGAAATAGTGTTAATTTTCAGCGCTAAAGAGTTTATAATAATCAGACGAAACTTACCGCTTCCACGTTTTTTTTTTTGTACTTAGGTGGCTTCGGCCTCGGTCTATATCGCTGTCATTACTTTCCGTTTCTGATTGAACTTGACAAATGTACTCATTCATTTATGTCTCAGCTTCTTCATACCCTGAACAAATTACAAACACACACTATCTCTTTATTTGTCATGTGTTTCACGCCCGTTCAACCCCAATTTCCCGTGCGCTCTGATTCAATAAATTTTTTAACTAGCGAAACCATGCGGAAGTATTGTACCCACAGTTTGGATGTAGGCCCTTGCTCTTGAAGTTTTCAAGATGCTGCTCAAATTTCTTTTTCGAGCTTTTTGAAGTATTTATCTTCACCAGCATTCCGTACGACCGATCTGTCTAAATTTAACAAAATTACTCGCATGGCGTAGGAAACATTTAAGGGGATTTCCATTGATTCAAAAATAATGTTCGCAAGCGCAACATGGGCAAGAAGATGTGCACGTAAAGCTCGATAGTACGAGTGTCCGCCCATCATCTTCTCAATAGAATTGACAGCATATGTTTGGGCCGCTATAAAATCGAAAGGTATATCGATCTGGGGGGCTTGAAATCCGATACAAATAAGTTGAGTGGACTGTATACTTGGGGCCTTAGAAATTGAACTTAGATAAACCTGAAAGGGGGCGGGGGTGTGGGAACACATAGTACAAAGATCATCATAAAGTCATAAAAGGTATGTCTGAGTGAAACATGAATCAGCTTATCACTAAGTATTAGTGTGCAGAGACCATCGAACCATTATTCCTGGGTGACAAGATTTGCTCATGAAGTCATAGATGAGACCTTTAGCCCTCCATGGTCATGAAAGATCCAGACATGACCTTGAACTTGGAGTCTTCAGAGGAGTAGGGAACTAAAGAGAAGTTTTCAAGGGAGCAAGGAAAGGATTCGTTCACTTTGAGCTCTAATGAGGGATATTAAGGGTGAAGGAAGGGAGCAAAGGGAGAAAATATACTGATATTCGTCAAGGTTGAAATTAGCAACCACGAGATAGGCCTACAGGAGGGCAGGGATCCTAGATGCTAGACTCCTAGAGAGGTATAATTCATGAATTCTACCTGAGTATAACCAGTACGACGATTCGGAAGAACTGACAGGTTAATCTTAGGATGGAGAACCGAAGAAAGTTAGGTAAATCGAGAACTTAACTCAAAAGACACGATTTTCACCAGAGAAAACTGAGAGGACAAACCAACGGTGACGCAGGTCGAAAACGAATTCAACAAGTCTTCTTGAGGGGTGGAACCATAACAAGAGAGCGCTGGCAACGCGGGATCGTAGTATGCGAAAAAAACGGACGAGTCCATTAGGGAGAAAAGGAAGGGTGGACGGTAACCGGATGCTAATTGACAAGCATGCGCGATCTATAGGGGAATTCGATAACCAAAATCGCTAATTAGCAAGAAAGGCGGTAGGTGGCGGAGAGGTATCGAAGTTCGATATTTTTCGAGACGCAAGGGCGTCAACATACTCTCCCCCTTGGAATCACGGAGGGATTGCAAAACGAAACTGAGATACAAGGGTGACAAAGGCTAAAAAACTGGAGACACGAAATTGAAGGTACAAGGGCGACAAAGGCTAAAAAGCTGGAGACACGAAATTGAAGGTACAAGGGCGACAAAGGCTAAAAAACTAGAGACACGAAAGGCGAGGCGCGAAAAGAGGGGCGCGATGTTTACAAGGGCGAAAAACACAATAAAACAGAGGTACAATAAGGGCGAAACACGGAGGGAAAGGGTGAACACTACAAGGGCGACAAAGTGGTCACGGGCAAGGGGCAGACTACAAAGACGAACTAAGGGGGAAGGCCGAGGCGGCTGCCGTTCAGCGTCTCGGGGCTGGAGCGCGAGGAGCGCTGGCTACTCCAGAGTGGAGGAACTGCAGATATGGTGTAGCGGGGATGGGGCGACGACCCCTGAGAGAAGCGCGGACCCCTGGTGGATGAGTGGGCGGCACCACTATCTGTCGGCTGTCGTGCAACAGCGGGTGATGTGGGGCGCGGCAAGTGCACTGTGCCCTCAAATCACAGCGGACTCGAGGCCAATCGAGCTCGTGACGACAGAGGCAGTTCACGCACAGCCCGTTGGCATGGACCACCGAGAGTCGGTTGGCGGGGCTGAGGCCATTAAACCGGGGGCAGTCTCCTAGGAAGTGGAGCGGGCCACAATGAGGGGCAGGTGGGGGTGGGCCTTGGGGTGAAGGAGGGAGGCTCCTCCAGAACGGGCGGAGAGTCCCAGACTTCAATAGGCGGCAGTGGCTCCATTCTGAAATGAAAGTAAGGTACTTTGCTTCAGGTGGGGTTACAAGACAGATCTAGGCTGCTAGCCGCGATACCAAGGCGGGGGGAAGGGTGGTAAGCAGCGTAGCTGAGCTAGGGGCTTAGTGAACCTGAGTTAGCGGAGGGCACAGGAGGAAACGGTAACCAAAATGCGGCGTGATAACACGGGCGCGAGGGTAAATGGGTTCTTACAAAGGCGGCAAAAAAAAAAAAAAACGGGTACGGGTGTCGCACTGACTTTTCAACGCACCGATTCTTAGGTCACAGCTTGAAAAGGAACAGTAAACCGTAAAAATACTGTTCTGGCTTTTGCTTCGGGTCGCATCTGTAGTGCTGGATGATGTGGGGCCGCTCCTTTTTGCGCACATATTTCTGCGCATAAGGATAGATGGTAGGAAGTGGTACCCTGATCGGTCGATCCTTAACGATGTCCCAATCTTTCGCATAATCGTACAAACAGAGGTCGTTCATTTCGCATGGTCTGTTCGGATAGTGGGTATGGTTATATTAGGACAGAACAAGTCAACATCGCTGGGGTCCATCTCCTCTACCTCTTTCTTCGGCTTCACCCTCCTGCTGTGAAGGATACTGGTATCGACCCATTTGAAAGTCGTATCAGCGTCTGTTCCGAAAAGCGCTGTACTCATTAAAGTATCAGCATAATACGTGAAAACTGAGTTCAACTTAACAGTTCATAAATTGTATGTATACTGTTACACATGAACGTACTAAAGGCTCAAAGAAAGAAAGCTAGCAGACAATTAGAACGTGAAAGAGGATCCACTTCCTTAGTTCTTGCGATTCATGTTCAGTTCGATGGAAAATAAAAATTATTTTAAAATTTCGTGAATCCAGAAGAGATAAGTCTGCAAAGAAACTTTCATCCTTGGTGAAACGTCATTTGATACTGTTTGGGCCGCTATAAACTCGAAAGGTAAAATCGATCTTTGGGGGGCCTGAATTCCGATACAAATAAATTGAGTGGACTGTATATTTGGGGCCTAAGAATTTGAACTTAGGTAAACCTGAAATAGGCCGGGGGTGTGGGAACACATAATACATAGATCATCATACGTCATAGAGTGTTTCTGAGTGAAACATGAGGCTTAACGCTTAGGCGCTGGACAGCGTGGATGCAAGAAAGCCAGGTATGGCCTGGCTGGAACGGGCCGCCGACCCCTGAAAGAGGCACACACGCCCGGAGATTGAGGGGGTGGCACTACCACCCTTCGGCTCTCATGCAGGAGATGATGATGAGGTGCGCCGTACTCGCACCGGGCTCTCTGGTCACATCGGATGTGAGGCCAGTCAAGTTCGTGAGGTCGAAGGCAATTCACACACCGCCCATTGCCGATAATGAAGGAAAGCCTATTTGCTGGGCTAAGGCCTCGGAACCGCTCGCAAGTTTCGAGGTAATGGCCTGGCCCGCAAAGGGGGCAGGAGGGCCGCTCGACGGCTGCGTGGAGCTCGTCCCACGCCCCAATCGGAGGGAGAGGGTCCATCCTGAAACAAGAGTAGGCCTTGATTTTAGGCAAAGGTACAAGAGTGAACTAAGGTTGCCGGCCGCGAGACCAAGGCCGTTAAGGTGGGGCGGTACGCGGCAATGTTGGGAGCTGAAAAGAAACCAACGACTGGTTCTAGGTGACATGGTTTGAACGACTGAGGCGAGAGTCGAGAAACGTGAAGCAAGCACACTCTAAGTAGGACATAGCATTTTTCCTTGTTTACATGAAACGAAAGATCGTTTCCCAACACCTTCTCTGAAAAAGC